ACGTCGGGCCCCTGCCGGGATTCGAACCCACGACCTTACGGTTGCGAGTCCAAGAGCCTAACCACTAGGCCACCGACACCACTGGGAACATACAACACCATGATGATCATACAATTTGGTGAAAAAAAAACCCCACTGGAAGATACTTGCACTAGGAAGTATATGACCACAACCAACACCACATATGGTGAGAAAATAGTCGAAGACATTTTTTCTAGTTTTAGGAAAAGTTTTACAGCACTTGCAACACAATTAGCCTCGGTCGTATAAATGCTGAAGATTAGCGGTGTTACAAGAGTGTAACATACACAAAAAAAGGAAAGAGAAGTTATAACTACGATGGATGTTTGAAAGTCAAAAGGAGAAAACCACATCAGAGCACCCGCCAACCACCCAGACCACACAACTTGGTGCAAAAGAATATTTGAAATCATTTGTACTGGAAATATACCATAACACCGCGATGAAAACTCAATTTGGCAAAATAATGCTGGAAGATATTTACACTGGGAAGCATAGGACCACAACAAAGAATCTGAAAATACTTTCATCATAAGGAAACTGTATTAAAATTAAAACAAAACAGAAAAATAAAACCAACAAAAAACACTCTTGCTAAGTTGCTATGCTAGAACTACAAAGTTCTATGTGCTCAGAACTTAGCTTTGAGAAATTTAACATTAACAAATTTTGAGTTTCACAACAAGTCAAGTTTAATGGAATGCAATTCTTTGAATAACTCGATAACGACTCCGAATAATCTTACAACTTTGACAGAACAGATAGAACATTAGGTTTCTGACCTCCTGGTCTTAGTAACTGAAAACGGGCAAAAATGTGAAATAGAACTTTGTAAATTTACGGTAGTAAGGAGTCTCCCTCACCTTCCTCCACTTCTGAAAGCTGTGCTTCACCATCAGGAAATGGTTCATCTCGTCCGCCATTTCCTTCTTCCTGTTCACCTCGTCCTCCGTGAACTGTCTCCAGCCTTGCAAACATTGCCTGTGCGTCCAACATAATAATGATAAATAGAAGAAGAAGAAGAAGAAGAAGAAGAAGAAGAAGAAGAAGAAGAAGAAGAAGAAGAAGAAGAAGAAGAAGAAGAAGAAGAAGAAGAAGAAGAAGAAGAAGAAGAAGAAGAAGAAGAAGAAGAAGAAGAAGAAAAAGAAGAAGAAGAAATAATAATAATAATAATAACAATAACAATAATAATGATAAAAGATAATAATAATAAAATAATAATAATAATAATAGTAATTTTATAATAACAATAAATAGCACATTTTGTATAGGGCATCACCCTGCTCGACAGCAAACTCTGTGCATCTTACATAACAAAGATTAGCAAAGAAACGACAGTAATCCACTGTAAATGCCTAACGCCCCAATCAACACAATTTAGGTCTTTCAGTTTTGTTTTTTTGGTGTTTTTTTTAAAAGAGTCTTACGGCACTAACAACACAAATAGGCCATATATACTTGCCGAAAATTAGAGAGGTTACTTTAGAGAGTAATATGGAGGAGTGATAAAAATAATAGATGTATGATAGCAAAGAAGAGACAAACCGCACAGGAGGAGGAGGAGGAGAAGGAGGAGGAGGAGGAGGAGGAGGAGGAGGAGGAGGAGGAGGAGGACAAAAACAACAGTAATAACAAAGGCAACAGCAATAACAAGTAAAAATCGAGAAGCAAATAATCAGTATGACATTTGCAGTACATATATATATATATATATATACATATTCACTATCTCTATTTTCAACAACAACAACAATATTATGACAACAACAATAGCGACAATAACGACAACAACAACAACAACACTAACACCACCAAACCCGCCCACCTGAGGATCTCCCTGTCTCGGTGCTTGATGGCCTTAACCCAGTTTCTTTTCGCCAGAGAGATGAGCTTCTTGAAGGGCAGGAGTCCGCGGTACTTCATCACCGAGCGCAGTTGGTGCGCCGCGGCTTTCTCCAGATTCTCTTTTTCTTTCTCCTGCTGCAAACGCTTCTCCTCTTCTCTCTGTGAGAAATTATTTTTAGTTTTGTTTTCAATGTTTTCCTTTTTTTTCATGTACTTGTTTTACTGCACCCACTGTTTACTTTACTTTACTTTTCCAATCCAGCGGCCATCTGAGTTCTAGCCCTTCGGTCTGTCCATATGGTAGAGAATTTTACAACATCTATCAACACAATTTTTTTTTCCATTATTTAAAATTATTTTTTTAATGCACCTGTTTTTTTTCCACACCCATTAACACAATAAAAAACAACAACAAACAACTAAATTTTGTTTATTTTAAGTAGCTGTTTTTTCACACCTGTCAACACAACTTAGACCAATTCATTGAAGAGATGGGATTCTGACCCTGCCTGTCACAGCAAAGCCTGGCAGAGTAGGAAACTACATCCCAGCAAAAAGACCGAGATACCAAATAAAAATTTCTACCGACTCGGTAATCGAACTTGGGTTTCCTGCGGGTTATAAGATGGTGGGCAGGAGATCAGTAATTCCCCTTCCAAAACCCTTCACACACACTTTTTCCACATTCAAAACATTTTAACTATTCAGTATACACCAGCCGAATAAAGATCTCTCTCATTAACTTATGGACTTTGTTCTCATCATTATTTGAAAATCCTGTCTACAGAGCTCATAATTTCTACTTCAGCATCGCCAAGTCCATGAGGAGTAATATATCAAAACAGAGAACGTGTTTTCTGATGTAAAAACTAACTTTGGTATTCAAACCCTGAGCCTCGCATCTGTGGTGTAGCAGTTAAGCACAAATTAGGGGATGTGAAAACAACACACTCTATGTCGTTCTGGCGACGTTCTAGGTGATAGAAGTTCAGATTTTGTCATCCACACTTCACTTACCTGTTTCTCAAGTCTTTTTTTCTGCTTGTAGGCCTCAGCTTTTGCTTTCTTCTCATCTTCGATTTCTTGAAGCCTCTTAGATTCCTCTGCTTGAAGTTTGGCCTATCAAAACAAAACAGAAAAATAAACAAATAAACCCAACAACAACAAAAAAAGACAGTTGTTTCAACACTTTCACCACATACAGTGAGCAGAACGCAAAACCTTTGTCCCCATATACCAGAGAGCAGATGGGGTACATCAGTACTACGCTGGCATCTTTGAAAAAAAAACCCCACCCATTGCTATGATACTTTCAGGAAACTGAGGAAATTGGATGTGATGATCACACAATATTTTCATCGAAACATGAGTCAGAATCGGACCTAAAAGCGTTAGCATATTATTATATTCATCATCTAAATCCTCACCATAGCTACACGTTAAAGCAGCTCTCATGCTATGATGTCTAGTCGACAGTTTTCAAAACTTTTCACTCTAACTGTAGTCAAAAAACTAATTTCCTAGCTCAAAAGTGACACAAACCTTTCAGAAAGGATGTAAAAACACCTACATTTAAAAAAATCTTTAAACAACAGCTGGTCCAGAATGAAAACTGTTGGAGTTTTTGGCAAAGGAGAAATGACTCTGAGCTGACAATAACTAATTCCAGCATGGAAAACGGAAAACAAAGATATTCCACTCAAGATTGAACTTTCAGTTTAGCTTCAGTAAGGGTATAAATTTTATATGGCACTTGCAAACACAATAAGGTTATACAAGTGCTGAAAATTAGAGGTCTTACAAGAGAGTAACAGAACAATAAAGAAGGAGGAGAGGTAAAGATGATAGAAGTTTGATAGGAACGAAGGAACAAACCACATTAGAGCTCCCACTAACCACACGCAGATTGAACTTTAACGTTCCATCTGTTAGACAAGCTGAAAGGAGCAGAAGTCTAAAACAGAGTCATAGTATGGTATACGTTTTACATCTCTTTCAACACTGTAAGGATATTTAAGAGGCCAGACCTCCAAGTTTGATCCATCTGTGATTGGACCAAGTCATAAGGGTGTGAAAGCTTTGTAAACTCCTCAAACAACTTAGATTAAAAAACACCCTACTTTGAGATTCCAACCACAGATATTCACACCATAGCCCAGCATGATACCAGTTAAGCTAACTGCACACCTGTTAAAATTTTTTTTTTTCTTTAGATAAATAAACGAATAATAAACTTTAAAAAAATGCAGTCTACTAAACGGAGAGCATTCCATATGTCTCAAACTAAAAAATTCAAGAACACTCTATTTAGAGATTTGAACCACAGTAAGCCACATCATAGCCCGTCATGATACCAGCTGAGCTACAGAATAACGGCTTAACACTTTTTTTTCAGTCAAAGCAATCAATTAAAAAAATAACCACACAAAAAAACAAGTCTTCTTAAACAGACATGTCATACCTCTAATCTTCAGCACTAATACAACCTATTTGTGTTGCAAGAGCCGCAAAACTCATATTAAAACTAAAATAAGTCACGACCAGCCCCATCATAGTCCACACAGCATGACACCAACCAAGCTAACAGCATGGTTGCTTCAATTTCTAAATTTTTCACTGAATGAATTCTAAGCATGTAGTTGAACCTGTTCTAATGGTCCCACGCATAAGACAGTCACCAGTACAAATGGCCACTTCCCATTTCCCCCCATTGTGAGTTTTTTAACACTAAAACGACACTGTCTAAGACAGCCATTTTTCCCCTCGACAACGTAGGGTCGGCTTTGACAATTTCAGCTGTACCACAAAAAGAAAAAAAACCCAAAACAAAACAAAACAAAAGTACTAAAACTAAAACAAATCTGACAGCATACACACAGTACCAGTTTTTCCTCCTCTTGTCGCCTTCTCTTCTCTTCCCGCTCCGCTTTCAGTCTGGCTCGATCAGCAGCCCGGTCCTCCATGTCTGGAAAAAGGAAAAATGACAATAATATCGAGGGGAAATACAGTGTAGTGGCCTGTTAGGCACATACCACTGTCTTTTACATATTCTGTCCCTGCATGAGGATTGCCAAGTATTGAGCTGGGAAGGGCTTATGTTTTTGTGGCTTAAAATGATTAAATTAAAAAAAAAATTTCTTGAGGAAAAGCAAGCAATTGAAATTATACCCCCCCCCCCCCCCCCCCAACCTTTTCATTAATTTTCTTTTTTTTACCAAATTATATCGAAATCTTTTAATACATTGAATTAAAAAAAAAGAATAACATTGAAATCTCGAGGCAAATTGCATTGACATCTTTCGACACATTACTTTGAAATTTGTTAAGGAATTACATTAATATCTTTTGACAAATTACTTTGAGATTTTTTACACAAACTACACAGAAAGCACACCTTCACAAAATTGATCATTTTATCTCTCAAACAAATGCTGTAACAGTAAATGTAAATTAAATGAAAACAGTTAGAATTAGGAAAAAAAAAAGCTCCGAAAACACCATTTGACCACAGAACGAGATAAAACGAAAAAAATTACGCTTAACCTCACTTTTGAGGACTTGCAGATATTTGTTGCTGTGCGGCATCTTCTTAGAGCCAGTTGTCGTTGATGTCATGTTGGTGGCGACACTGGTCTCTGACCTCTCCGTGAGAACGTTTGACCTGAAAGAATACGTTGCCCGGCTAAACGACGTGAGTGACTCTAGAGAGTTCTGGTTAGCAGGGGATGGGTGAGGTTATGAGTTGTGTAGACAAGTTTTAGTAACAGTGTTTGGCTTACACAGCCGTAGGTAGAAGACTCCTTAACCCTTTGAACCCCGGGCTCCTGAGCCTTAAATGGGCTCTACCGTGGGCTCCTGGGATGTTTTTCATTTATTCAAAAATATCATGATGCCACGACAAGAAAATTTCAAATGAAATAATACACTAAAGCAGAGACCGGACAAATGGCTGCCTGTTGAGGCAAGGAGTGGGGGGTCAAAAGACAAAATACAGCCATGGTCACACGTGACAGGTGAACAAACTGAGCTTACTTTGACAGGAAAACATGGAGGAGAATGATAAAGGAAAGAACTATTGCGCTAGAGAGCAGCCTCAGAAACGACCAGGGTGAGAAGTGCCAACGACGAAAAGAAAACAGAGGAAATATGCAGCTTCGATCCACCTCACTGACATGTAAGCACTGAGACAGAATCTGCGCTTAAAACATAGGAAAAATTAGCCATGAAAGAAGCTGCATGAATAAAACCTTGAGACCATCTTAAGCGAAATTTACCTTCTGCATAAATGAAAATCATTAACAGAGCTCGGCTGAATAAGGGTGGGTGGGAGAGTTTCCACAGTTTTTCACCTACTTTGTTCGATCCCACAAGAATGATGAAGATGCCTGATACAACAGACTTCCTTTCTTAGAAATCGAACTCGGTTCTTCTGCGTGCATCAACGAAAAGCATAAGTATCACATCACACATGTCAGCGAGGTAGATCTTGTCGGCAATTTGTTCTGTTTGTTTGTGTTCAGTAAAAAGAAGCACATCAACCCAACGCAAACACAGCAACAATCATTTAGTGCAGAAAGAGAAACCAAGACAGACAGACTGAAATGACAAAGCCATTGTGAGGCAGCGTGGTGGAATCAGGCTCTCGTCAAAATAATCCAAGTGAAAAAACGCGCATTTTTCCGCAAGTTTGTGAATTTTTTATCAAATTTATGTTTCTTTGGCCCAACACCTTTCATGGCCATTAAATAACTCATTTCTGTGCAGATTTTTCTGAAAAACCTTAATTAAAGGGGCACAAAATGAACATTTTCAGTTACCATGAACTCTTAAACTAAAGAAATAACTAATCTTTGGCAGCCATTTTCTCACAAATTTTACCTCTGAAAACAGGTGACCCCACTTCCTTCTTTCGCAAATATCTCGAATTGTATTCAAGATAAATGGACATTTTTTTCATCCAAATAAAGACAAGTGAACAAGCTTTAAAACAATACCAATAACTCTACATGTCCAAAAATTGACGAGAGCCTGATTCCACCATGCTGCCTCATATATAACAGAAGTAGGACCAACCAGCATTTGAGTAAACAGATGCACATCAACACTATAACGGTCATAATAGAAAAAAATCAAAATAGACAGACAGAAACAATAGAGGGAAAGTAAAAAAGTAGGACCTATCAGTCGTGTCCTCCAACCACCTTTTTTCTGGACCAATCATACCATTATATTCACAAAAGACAGAAAGAAACATTTACCGATAAGAAAACGAGCCATCTCCCAACCTGGATGAAGCCGCTGGCATTTGTTCTGCCCAGATTTCCGGCTGGCTGGCACATTGACCAGCATGTGGCTCGTTCGCTTCGTCTCCTCTCGGGATCTGTCTGCCAGGAGGGGGTGCTGGGAGCAAACAAAGGGACACAGACGACAACAACTTTATTCATCCGCACAGTAAACATTGCACAACAAGAAACTGTTTCACTACCACTGTTATTGATTCTCATGGAAAAAATGTGACTAGTTTAGTTTTGGTAATAGAGTTTTATGGCATTTGCAACATACTAAGGTCATATAAATGTCAAAGATTAGAGAGTAACAAACACATAAAAGAAGGAGGAGAAATAAGGACGATAGATGTGGGCAGCAACGGAAAGTATAATTCATGCATACATTAATTTAGCAGCAACGGAAAGTATAATTCATGCATAAATTAATTTAGGGGTATATTACACACACTATCTCACCATACAATGTTACAAACAAACCAGTGCTAGTCACCACTGTGCAGCACCCTGTTCTGAGTGAGGGTTTTGTTCAAAGACACACCCCAGGGATAACCAAGTTAAAGGTGGCATATATTGTCAGCAAGAGATTACTTGGAGGAGGAGGCCAAGGACGAAGACAAAGAGGAGGAAGAGGAGGAAGAGGAGGAAGAGGAGGAAGAGGAGGAAGAGGAGGAGGAGGAACAACACGGCAGAGAATGATGAGAAGTAAACAGCACAAACAAGAACACAATAACACAAACAACAGCAACAACAATAACAACAACAAAAACAGCCACAAAAACAACAACAACAATAGCAGCAAGAACACAAAGAACAACAAACAAAAACAATAACAACAACATCAACTCCACATACAACAACATTACACAAAACATTACAAGCAACAACACAACAAACAACAATAACAACATCAATAATATTACAAACAATAACACAAACAAAAAAATAAACAACAAAATAAACAGCAACAACAATATTACAAACAACAACAATGACATTACATAAACAACAACAAAAACAACAACAACAAAAAACCAACAACAACCCAAATTGCAACGCAAACAACACGCTACCTTCAGGGGCCGGAATCTCAGGGGGCAGTGGAGGCACAGCCCCCACCCCGCCAGGCGACCCGTCAGCCGCATGCCCACCCGCCAGGTGTTGCCGAAATGACTGCTGCCGCTGCTCGTACTGCAGCTCCTGGATCAGCCGCTGCTGCTCTCGGATCTGCTGCTGCTGCTCTTTGAGTGCGAGCTGCTGCGCTGAGTACCGGTGCTGAAAGCTGTCCACCACGTAGTGCTGCTTCATCCAGGGCTGCGTGCCGAATCTTTGGACGGGATGAGAGAAATTTTATATTTTTTATAGTAAAGGGATTTACGGCGCTCGCAACTGCATAAGGTCATATGAGCGCCAAGGGGTGGGTGTCAACAGAGAAGTCTTTACAGGGAATCAGACTTAGACTGCTCACCTCTCTAGCTTCAACAGCACAAGGTCTGCTTCGACTATCAAGGCACCCAAAAATAGCAGGTCACAAGGGAGTGACAAACATACAAAAGAAGTAGACGAAAATGACAATAGTAAGGATCAGGAAAGAAAAAGCAGCAGTTCCCTGTTGTAGATCAGGCACAGTTATGAGCGTGGCATGAGTCAGCCCATTTACAATTCTACTCTGCTTGAATGAGAAATGTCCCCCCTTTGGGAATGGCCTAAAGACACTACAGTCAGCGGCACTGTCGCGGGGGGTTATCAGAGAAAGAGTGACAGGATTATGTGGGGAGATAGAGAGAAATAGTGATGAAAGCATTATTATGTAAGACAGAAAGGAAAAAGAAAAAGCAAATAAGGACAAAAAGAAAGACATGAAAAAAGAGAAATGAAAGAAATAATGAAAGAAAAAAAGAAAGAAAGAAAGAAAGAAGGAAAGAAGGAAGGAAAGAAAGAATGGAAGCAAAAAAGAAAGTATTTAAAAATCTAATGCGCAGTAATACAGATGTCACCACCATCATTTTTTAAGATTCATTTCAAATTCTTCAACAGAAGAGTGTCAGTCTTTTAGTGAACAATAATAATAATAATAATAATAATAATAATAATTTAATTATACTAATATTAATATTAAAAATAACAATAATAATAATAATAAGAGTAAATAGCATCCAAATAGCACAAATTCCCCCTCACCAGCAAGCTCTATACACTTTACAATCTATATTATTACCCGAGAAGAACTGATAACATTCTGAAACAATCTTAAATTCCTGGGAAGCATACAGTGCAACATTTGGTATTTGTGTCATGTAATATACAATCTGTGTTATCAACATTCTGGTCAATAGTCAATGGAGTGTGTCCTTGAGTAAGACACGATAACCCTCTCTCAAAAAAGGCTTACGTTTAAAAAAACCAAAAAAAAAAAAAAGCATAGGTGATCTCAAAAAAGAATTACAAAGCCTTCACTTACATTCTGTTTAGTTTAGTTTTAGCAAACGTTTTACGGCGCTTGCAACACATGAGGTCCTAAAAGAACCAAAGATTAGAAGCATTACAAACACACAAATAAAAAGGAGGAGAGATAAGGAAGATAGATGTTTGATAGGAAAGAAGGAGCCAACCACACCAGAGCACCTTTCAACCACCTGCACATACCTTCTCCTGATCTCCTGGTTTGTGTGTTGCCTTCTCTCCCCCTCCTCTCCTCCCTCCCCTCCCTCCCCCAGGTGAGCAATCTCCTCGGCAGTCAGTTTCAGGTGCTGTCGGGTGACCTGCCAGGCCTCTGTGGGCACCGCTGACCTCCCCTTGCCAGTGGGCGTGGCCGTCCCCGGCCGGACTCCGCTGATTGGTGCTTGCTGGTCACAGGACACATTGCTGTGAGACGATTGGATGCTGTCGGTTTCCCCCCAGGCCTGCCGAGGTGCTTGCTGCTGGAACATCTAGGCATGTCAAAGAAAGAAGAAAGATGGAAAGAGAGAAAGAAAGAAGGAAATAAATACACAAAGAAAGAAAGAGTGAAAGAAAAAAGACGGAAAGAAAGAAAAAAAGAAAGAGAGAAAGAGAGAAAGAAAGAAGAAAATAAATATACAAAGAAAGAAAGAATGAAAGAAAGAAAGAAAGAAGGAAATATAGAAAGTAAGAAAGAAAGAAAGTAAGAAAGAAAGAAAGAAAGAAAGAAAGAAAGAAAGAAAGAAAGAAAGAAAGAAAGAAAAACTAGACAAACAAACAAAAAGGCAGAAAGACAAAAAGAAAAAGAGACAGGAAAAAAGAAACCTAAGGACAACTTTACTCATCTTTACATGTTTTTGTTTTGGGGTTATTTTTATACACGATTCAAGTCTACTGGACATAATATTATATAACTAATTTCCAAGGCACTTTCAAAATGCCGTGAGCCGTCAAGACAATTTAAACATCAAAGACGTGGCCTACTGAGACTCCATGTCCTAGCTTGGCACATTTTGTTTCTTGTATGAACATGGCTTCCATGTATTGACACTTCGCTTCCTCCGAATCACAAAGCTCTAACTGACATTTTTGGGGTGTTCTGAGGTCCTAAAACCGTGAGGTCAGAAACCAAATATGTCCTTCCTGTTCTATCAAAATGGTAAGATAATTCAAAGTCATTTTCAAGCTGCTATGTTCCATAGAGAGTTTTGTCAATGTTAGGTCTCGGAGGGAGAACGGTAGCTCTGATGTCATTTAGGGCTGTGCAGTGGAACAGGTGATGATCCACAGTCTCACATAGTCACACAAGGGACACATTGGGGGAAATTCTGGATTTATTCTGTTCAAGTGGAAGTTGAGCTGTATATGCTTTTAATGATTTGTATCGTTGTGTCGTATGAAGTCGGAATGTTGGGTTGTTCCTGTTTGGATCCCCATTTGGCAAGTGTGTCTGCACTGTCATTTCCGGGTATGTTTGAGTGTCCGGGGACCCACTGCATCACCAGGTCGATGCCACAGAATGCTATCAGATGATGGGAGCCAAACAGTGTATGTGTGAAATCTTGGTTCAGATTTTGATCATTTTCTACCGCTGGCAAGACTGATAGTGAGTCAGTGAAAATCACAATACTCTGTGCTTTTCCAGGATGAGCGCCAAAAACTGTGCAGAGATGGTACAGTACTGTTTCATTTGCCATCATTTCTGCATCCTAGTTGCTGCATTTCTCTCCACAGGCTGCAGAGATCTCACTGGAACTTCCGTCTGGGTACTATATTAGTATTCCATATTCGGATTTGGTTGTGCCTTTGAATGCTTAGCTGTCTGTATAGACAGTCATCTGAATAGCTTTTGTTGAATTCGTTTCTTTGGTTTCCATGTTTCTACTAATTTCCTCTTTGGGTTGTTGGGGCACATTCTTTTCCTTCTTTCCTGTAGCTTCTGAACTGCTTTATCTATGTGAGGCGCGGGGTGGTATCAGGCTCTCGTCAAAATAATCAAAGCGAAGAAACTTGCATTTTTCCGCAGGCTTGTGAACTTTTATCAAATTTTTTATTTTTGGCTCAACACCGTTCTTGCCCATTAAAGAACTCCTTTCTGTGTGGATTTTTCTGAAAAACGTTGATTAAAGGCACAAAAATGAAAATTTTCAGTTACCACGGACTATTAAGCTAAGGAAATAACTTATCTTTGGCTGCCATTTTCTCACTAATTTTACCTCAGAAAACAGGTGACCCCCACCTCCTTCATTTGCAAGTATCTCCACTTATATTCAAGATAAATTGATTTTTTTTCATTCAAATAAAGGCACGTTAACAAGCCTTAAGATGATACCAATAACTCCACATGCCCAAAAATTGACGAGAGCCTGACCCCACCACGATGCCTCACATATATGTGGATTCCCTGGGGTTCAACATTAGAAATGATTTCACACGCGGCAGTAGGTGTGGATCTCATGCCACCATTTATGAATTATGAAACGAAGGGCATTATTTTGGACCTTGTCAAGAGTGTTGCAAGTAGTTGTACTACACATAGTGAGTAGGCTATTGCTGTATTCCAGGGGAGACCGGACATGACTAAGGTATAGAGCTCTCAGAGTTTGTTTGTCTGATCCCCATGAACTGCTTGCGAGTTTCTTTAAAAGTTGTTGGAGGGTTTTTTTTCCGCCTTGTTCTTTATGTTCTCTATTAGAATTTTCATGATTAGACTTTGGTTCAAGTTTGATTCCTAGGTATGTTCTTCTTTGGGGGGATTTTCATTTCCTATCTTCAGTTGGAGATTTTTTTGGGGGCTGTTTTATGGCTCTTTGTACAGATGGCGTATACTGTTTTCCTGCACTTTATTTTAAGTTTTCTTTTCTGACAGTAATATGGAGCCTCTTGAGGTCTTCATTTAATTTTCCTGCTCCTACTACCATGCTGTGATGTGTCTGCCAGACAGCAAAATCATCAGCGTAGACAGTCTTTTCAGATTTCAGTACGTTCGATACATCACTGAAGAAGATCAGGAACAAAGTGCAACTCCGACAGGAACCTTAGAGTACTTCTCTAGATGAGTGGGCAGTGTTTACCTTGGTTTCAATGTTTCGATCTGCTAAGAAGAACTTGATCCATTTATATAGTTTGCTATGTATCCCGAAGTCTGTCATTTGCATGAGTAGGCCTTTTCTCCATACTTTATCGTTTGCCTGTTGGAGATCTACAAACATGGCAACAGTGTGTTTAGGCTCCTGAAAACCATCCTGGAAGTTTTGATTTAGTTTGAAAAGTTGATCTTCTGTGTTGCTGCCTTTCCTGACGCCTGCTTGGGGTGGGTTCAAGCTGTTAGTGTTTTCCAGGTACCAGTAGAGGCGGTTATTTATCATTCTTTCCCCAAGCTTACAGATACATGATGTTAATGAGATGGTTCAGTACCTCTTTGCTTCTCCAGGTGGTTTCCCATTTTTCAGGAGCGATATAATCTGGGCGATCCTCCATGCCTTTGGTATTCCACTCGTTCTCCACATGGTATTTATTTAGGGAAAGGAAAACTTCTTTTCCTTTAGCACCAAGGTTGCACAGCATTTCGTTGTGTACTTTATCTGGTCCTGGGGCTTTCTTTTTCTGTAGCTTTGTGAGGGCCTGACTGAGTCCCACCATGCTATAATCCTCTTCAACAAGCGAGTTGTTCACAGTAGGGGCTTTTTCTTTATGCTTAGCCCTATTTATGAGAAGTCTATCAGCCTCGGTTAGTCTGCTTACCCTGTTTAAGAGGCGAAATACCGGTAAAAATGTCCGGCTTTCTTCTGGTCTTCAGTACTGGTGCTGTCTGAAAGGAAAAAAGGTTTGGGGTTGCTTTTCTGTCTTTCTCCCGACAGGTTGATGACAAGGTTAGTGATATGTCGTGAAAATCAAAATATTGTAATGTAAAGTTTCTCAGAACTAGATACTGAGCAGATAAAACTTCACCTACCAATTTTTGGCTGACTGCTGGAATGTTACAATATAATTATCCCACTCAGCCTGAGTCAAAGCAACATGCCGCCTAAACAACCTAACTTGTGTTGAGAGGACTGTAAAACACTCATAAACCACCTACCACTTTCTGGCTGTCCGTGGACTGACCGACATTCCCTGGAACTGACCGAGCTGAGGTCGTCCTTCCTCCATCAGCAACTCTCCTGTTCTTAATCCCTCTCCTCCCATCGCCTCTCTCCGTTCCTCCTCCTCCTCCCTCCTCCGCTCCGCCCAGCTTCCCCTCCACCACGGCACTCAGCAGTGACATCATCTTGCCCCTGGTCTTCTCCTGCTCCTCCCTCATCTCCTTTCTCTCATTCTCCTCCTGCACAAACAGTTGCCAGGTAAGGAAGCAGCGACGGAGCAGAGACAGGGTGAAGTGACGATCGGCCACCAAGCCCTTCCTGGCAAGTACACACACAGGACATATTCCATTTAATACAAAATGACCAAAAATTTTGTGACATTGGGGTGAAATTAGGCGCTTGTCAAAATAATAAATTTGAAGAAACAGGCATTTTTCCACCAGTTTGGCAATTTTTATCGAAATTTCAGGGTTTTTTTCATTTTTGCCTCAGCACATGTTATATCCATTAAAAAACACATTTCTCTCTTGATATTTACCGAAAGACGTTGACTAGGTCATAAAAAGGAAAATTTTCAGTTTCCAAGAACTCTAAAGCTATGGTAGTCACCAAGCTTTGGTGACCATTTTTTCACGAATTTTTACTTCTGAAACCAGGCGACCCATCTCCTTCAATCACAAATATATCGACTACTACACAAGGTAAGTAGGTGTTTATTTTGATCGAAGTCAAGACAAAAGGTCAAGTTTTAAGAAGAAACAAAGAACTCCATATGCCCAAAAATTGACAAGTGTCTGATTCCACCGCGGCATGACTCATATATCGTCTGCACACTGTAGAAATGTAGCAAGCCCAGAAACCAAAATTTTATGGGAGAGAGAAAGAACTGTATCATTTTTTTCACAATTGTATCTTCATTATGTATCTTTTCTTTCTTTCTAACATCAAGAATTTGTGAATTTTGACAAAATATTTCTTGAGTACAAGCAACTGATACCATAGATTAAAAAACTGCAAAAAAAGAGAATTTCTAAATTTTGGGCTTAGTGTATGTGAGGCAGCGTGGTGGAATCAGGCTCTCGTCAAAATAATGAAATAAAATAAAACAGCAGTTTTCTTTCTGTTTGGCAATTTTTATCAAATTTTTGTTTTTTGGCTCATCATTTTTAATGTCCATTTATAAACACATTCCTTTGAGGATTTCACCGAAAACGTTGATTAAAGGCACAAAAATATAAATGTACAGTTTCCATGGACTCTCCAGCTTTGGAACCATTTTCTCGCTAATTTTACCTCTTAAATCAGGCGACTCCCACCTCCTTCAATCCAAAATCTCTCAACTTCTATTGAAGGTGGAT